CGGTGAGACTATGTCTCCAAATAACAAATGAAAAAAGAGCTGGGAATGTAGCCATAGTGTGAAGGCCCTAGCTTCAATCTCCAGTACCAAAACCCCAAAAACCCACATTGGGTTTCTTTTTTTTTTTGTACCAAGGATTGAACGTGGGTCCTTGTGCTTGTGAGGCAGGCAGCGGAACCACTGAGCTAAATCCCTGACCCCACATTGGGTTTCAAAGATAATCCAAAAAAACGCTATAAAATATGTCAATAAATTTTTATATGCTACATCTTGAAATAACACTATTTTGTATACATTGGGTTAATAAAGTATATAATGAAAATTAACTTCACTTTAACATGGTTATTCCTACATTTTCTAAATCTAAAAAGCACATTTTTCAATTGTGTCTTATATTCTATACAAACATGTTTTATCATCTATCTATCTATCTATCTATCAATCTATCATCTATCTTTTTTTTTTTTCACCATGCTGGGAATGAGATCCAGGGCCTCATGCATGAGAGGCAATCACTCTGCCCTGGTCTCTCTCCCTAGCTCTAGCTTATATCAGCAGTGCTGCCTTAGAACCAGTTTCTCAACAGGGCTGATATCGCCCCCTAGGGGTCACTTTGGGACCTCTGTATTTCCTCCGAAGGGAGGGGGACCCCATAAAGGGGTGGGGGGCAGGGCTGGAACAGCAGTACAGCGCTGAAGTCCTGGCTAACGTTTAGTGAGAGCTTACAGCCAGGCGCTGTTCCACGCTTCTCCCATATTAACTCATTAAGTCAAGCCACCATCCTCTGAAGTCATCCTGTTATTATTTTTCCCATTCCCCAGGGGAGGACACTGAAGCTCAGAGAAATGTCTTGCCCAAGGGCACGGGCCCCGGGCTCTGGGGATCTAGGCTGGAATCTGGGCTTGCCCAACTCCAGCTGCACCACTCATAAAGTTGCAGGGGAGGTCAGTTCCACCCCCTTCTTCTTCCCACGAATACTTATCCCACGCGTGTATGCGTGTATGCAAGAGATCTTTCCCGGGCACCTCTGAGCCCCATCACGCTCATCTCTCTGCCAGGTCTGCTGCTGGGTGGCCACTCGGCCCAGGCCAAAGAAGAGGCGGGAAGTGGAGACCGCAGCACGTCCCACACTTGGCTGTGCACATGCATTCCCCGGGGTTCTTGGGAAAATGCTGGGCCTGAGGTCCCGCGTGTGTCTGTACAGCCTCAACGACCACATGAGGAGTTGCTCATGCGGGGTAACAGTCCTGTCTGCCGTGACACGTAAGAAGGGTGTCAGCGTCCGAGTGGGAAGGCCACTAAGGAGTCATCTCATCCAGCTCCCTCAAGGTTCTGACAAGGACACGGCCTCAGAGAGGGTGAGACCTTGCTCAAAGTCACACAGCCAGTTACAGGCAGAGGCCAACACTCCACTTCCCCCAGGGCTCCTTGCACCTGGCCTGCAGGAACTTGAGACGAACTATGTGTGTCCAGAGGATCCTGTGCCTGGACAAGTGGAGGCTTTGGGCATTTTCAAGTCTCCCCACCCTCTCCAGTCTGAGTTTGCACAGCAGAGAAGAAACTGTGGGAGTCAACTGGCAGGAAGACCATGCTCTGTCTGCAATAAGCCTGTGGAACTGCATCGCCCGGCCCCTGGTTCCTCTCTCCACCCCCAGATGTTGCACATCTTGATCCCCAGAGTGCACTTGGATTAATGGAGTGAAACCATCATAAGGACAGAAGAGAAACTGTCTTCTCCTGACTGGATAAACAAGGTACTAACAATAGGAATTCATTTCCTAGAAATCAGGCACTGAATTTGTTAGTGTTTACAGAATCCAACCCACTATTCACCATCTGTTTGCCTGGCTGGGAGGCTCAGAGCGGCAGTGATTAGAAGTATGTACAAGTTTTGGAGTTAGGTAGACATCTTGTTTCCCAGTCCATTTGTTGGCTCTGTGACTCTGGGTAAGTTACTCAACCTCTCTGAGCCTGTTTCTGCATCCGTTCAACAACTACCATCCAATAAAGCCTACCATGTGTTGGCACGAGCAATGTAGATGTGACATTGGTCTTAGAAAGACTTACAGGGGAAGCCCTGGGGAAACACTCCCGGCACCTAGGACCACAGATGCGATGCGATGAGGCTCACAGCGAAGTTGTGTAAACTGTGGCGACCCTGAGATCCCACTCTGGGAGTGGGTTTGCAGGTGAGCCCAAGAGGACAAACAGAATCAGCAAGTGAGGAGAAGCTGGGGTCAATGGTACCCATGCCACACAACGAGCTTGGAGAACCCTCACCTAAACCCATCCCATGACTCCCTAGAGGTTGCACAGTCTACCTCTTTCCTGTCATCCCGCTGCTTCACCTGAACTCCGCAAAAGACCCCACCTGCATCCACTCTTGGCAGAGACCTGCGCTTCCAAAAGCCCTGTGGTTCTCTCACCTGTCTGCGATAGCGCAGGTTATCGCCTTGTGGCTTATATCTAGATGCCCCCGCCAAAGCCCCATGCACTCCCAGGTGGGGCCCGGGAGGAGACTGGATCATGGGGGCGTGGTCATTGGGGGATTAGTCCACTGATCAGTTTCCAGCCCAACGTGGTGTTGGCAGGTAAAGCCTGCTCAGAGGAGGTGGCCACGGGGGCGTGGCCTGGGTGGGTCTATCTCCCTCCACCTCTCTGGATCTCTGTGTTCCACCACCTGGCCACGAGCTCTTTCTCTTTCACGATGCCCCACTGCCATGCCACCCTGCCTTGGAGCCAGCCCTCAATGGACTGAAACCTCTACAAACTGTGAGAGGAAATAAATTTTTTTCCTTTAATTTGTGGGCGTCAGGTATTGTGTTTCAGTAATGATACAGTAACTAAGTAACTAAGACACCCCTCTATGCACTATGCCTTTCTTCGTATCTCTTCTACCTTTTCTGGAGGGTCCCTTCTTTCTGTCTGTCCCATTGGGCCTCTTACATGGGCATCACACTGGACTCCCCTGGACTGGGCTCACGGCCAACCTCTCTGCCAGGCTTGATTTTCAGAAAGACCTAGTACCCCTCTCCATCTATCTGTCCAACTCCTCTTCACCCCCAGGACCATGTTCCGCAGTCTCCTCTTTTCTGAAGCTTGTCTTGCTCTTTCCACCCCAGAAGGGCCAGCTTCTCTCCTCCGTGCCAACCCAACATGACTCATTTAGGAGTCACACCTACATCTCACACTGTCCACCGTCCAGGGTCTAGGGGTCTCTCTCCCCAAAAGGTGGTATGTTTCTGGAGCAAGGACCTAGTTTTGTTCATAAGTTGAATATGTTGGGCTTCATACTTAATGGATGTTTAATAAAGATTTACTCAAAGAATGAAGGAAAGAAGAATAGTGACGATTTTACCTTTCTTTGATGCTCCCTCTCTGTAATGAAGTGCACTTTGGTTTTCTGTCCTAGATGTCCCACAGGAGTCCCAAGCCCAGTCAGGCCACCAGCCTTCCCACCCACACCAGCCTCTCTGACAGTCTCTTTCTTGGCAGGCACTACCCAGCTCTTCCTCACCCAGCCCCCAAATATTTGATCGATATTTATTTATTTCTCTTCTGCAGTGTTGGGGACCTCATAAATGCTAGGCAAATGCTCTACTCCTTAGCCACATCCCAGCCCATCCCCAGAACTTGGAGTTCCTGCTCCCATCCCGCCGCAGCCCTTAACTAGTTGTTTCATTAAAAGAATAAGGAAGCCGAGGCTCATACAAGTCACTGGCAGGAGCTTTGATCTTCGCAGCCCAGACTTCTCTCTCTCTTACAAGTTCCAGGACATTTATTCTGTTTCTTCTTTCTGGAAGAGCAGTTTTTCCCATTTTCCTTCACACACAGAAGCCCCTTCCTCCAGGTAGCCTTTCTTGGTCCCCTGGGCAAACCCTTCTTCTTTATTTCCTGACCTGACTCCAGGATGGTTTATACCTCTTACTGCTGCTGGACAAAAAAGCCCCTTGAAGATTTACCCATTTCCTGCCCACTCCCATGCCCTGAGCATTTTCAGTCAATCTAAAATAATTCCCCTCTCAATGCTCAAATAGGGCCCTGGAAAAATAACTGCATTTGAGCTGGGAGGGTAGCTCAGTGGGAGAGCATTGGTTTCGCATGCATGACACCCTGGTTTGATTCCCCAGTATTGCGAAAGATGATGATAAAATGAACAGCTGCCTTTCTTCTCCCCTATTTATAATCCTCCAATGGCTCTCACCGTATTCAAAGTAAAATCCAAAACTCTCACTATGGCTTACAAGGCCCTACATGGGATTTCCCCACCCCTGCCACCTCTTTGACCTCACCTTCTACCAGCTGACTCCTTAAATGACACGCTTTGAGCAGCCACCATGAAGTAGCTCTCACCGTTTACTGTCACCCTGATTTGTGCTCATTGTAGCCCTTAACCTGATCTGGTATTTTCCACTTGGATGTTTATTGCTTGTCTCTCCACACACCCCCACACACACACCCTGGCTACACATAGCTTCTGTCTAGCTCCTCACTATATCCCCAGGGCCTGAACAGTGCTTGGCTGACAACAAATGGAGGGACCGCCAGTCCCAGGAGTGATCTGGGCTGGAGACATAAACTGGAGTCATGTGACAGAGGTGGTGACGAAAGCCAGGGGAGTGGGTGTGATCATCACCCAGGGAGAGGGCCTACTACAAGGAGAGACAGCAGAATATGTAATGGCCATAGAAAGGAGGATGCACCTGCAAAAACAACAGAGAGGATGAAGGCAAAACATCAAGCGTTAAGTCATGGGAGCCACAAGAAGAGTTCTGGAGGGAAGGCAAGGTCAACAGTGTAGGCTGCTGGGAGGGAAATTTCAATCTGGCCTTGGGTAGGAACCACTTGTGCCATGAGAGGGACCTCTCAGGTCTGGATCTTCAAGCTCTAAGAATCTGTCATTTCTGCTCATATTCACATCTCCATGCCACAAAGAACAGTCACCCATCTGTGGCCTAGGAGAGAAGGGACAACAGAGTCACCTCTCCCTTGTTACTTACCCAGTGGGCAGCCAACCAGCTCTCAGGCAGCCCCTCTGTATTTCTGGCCCTGTACCGGCTGGGAACCAGTGGAGACCCCAAGTTCTGCCAGTCTGTCCAGCTGGCCTTGCCCCCAACCTCCAATGGACCCCTCCAGCACCTGGCATCTTGGATGGCCCATGACAAAGCCCACTTGCTTCTACTCACAGGCTCAAAGGCTGAAGAAAACGCAGCTACTTAAAGGGCCTCACTTGCTGCTGTGATAAAGGATCCCTCAATATCCTTGCAAGGAGGGCTGAGACCCCAGCCAGGATAGTTCAGAGGCAAACTCAGACCAACAATGTATGCTCCACTGGAAAACCCTGGGAGCTGATTTCAAGGGAGAGCTCAGACATTGCTCCTAGTACTCAGAGCAGTGATGGCCACCAAGGACTGAGCTCTCCTCTGAGGCCAGCTTATGCCAAGCAATGATCCCACGTGAGGTACACAGCAAGCCTGTGGGTTAAAAGTTGTTGTCATTTCATATGGGAGAAAGTCAAGGTTCAAAGAGATTGAGGTCTTGCCAGAGATCACATAGTTAAGTAGCCATGGCCAGTTGGCGAAGACAGCAGACTGTCTTACCAGTAATCCTTGAACTTCCCCAGACCTAGTGAGGCAGGGGATTTCAGTCTTACGGTCTCCTACAAGCACCGTGACCTTGGGCAAGATTTATTCTTCACTCTCCCCATCAGCAGTAAAGCAGATGTCCTCATGCCTTTCCAGGGCCAAAATTCTGCGATGAGCTAGGATTTGAACAGAACTTTACAATTTTTAAAAAGGCATCCATCGGGCATCACGTTCACTCCTACGAATCCAAAGGCGGAAGTAACCCTCTGGTAGGTGTGCACATCGGAGAGATGTACTGACCTGCCCAAGGTCACAAGCATGGCAGGGAAGCTGCGGCTAGACATGGGAGTCTTTCAAGTCCGCTCCAGAAAGGGCAGCCCTGCGGTGGCGCCGAACCCAGACCTGGCCGGCAGGGGGCAGAGCCTGGCTTCCCACGGCCGTGCGGGGGCCACCTGGGC